AAAATATGTGACCCTGGAGCACAAAACCAGTCTTAAGTCGCTGGGGTATATTTGTAGCAATAGCCAACAATACATTGTATGGTCAAAATTATACATTTCTCTTTTATGCCAGAAATCATTAGGATATTAAGTAAAGATCACGTTCCATGAATATATTTTGTAAATTTCCTACTGTAAATATATCAAAACTTCGTTTTTTTTTTTATTAGTAATATGCATTGCTAAGAACTTCATTTGGACAACTTTAAAGGCGATTTTCTCAGTATTTTGATTTTTTTTCACCCTCAGATTCCAGATTTTCAAATAGTTGTATCTCGGCCAAATATTGTCCTATTCTAACAAATTATTATTCAGCTTTCAGATGATGTATAAATCTAAATTTCGAAAAACTGACCCTTATGGTTTTGTGGTCCAGGGTCACATATAAATACGGCATAAAGCAGGTTTCTGCATATAATGATCAATTTAGTCTGTAACATAAAATAAATGCTGAAAATACTGAATGGGAAAGTTACAAACATATACTGATAATAAACATTTGCTGATGTAGTGCGTTGCCCTCTGATTCTAAACAATGATAATAATTATCATTATAGAGTATTTCAGTTTTGCAGTACAGTCTGGTCCAAATAAATGTTAAGGCACAAGAAAGTACATCCTGAATCTAATACATTTACAGACACAGTATATACAACTCTCTTATTTTTTTCATGTTGATTTGGTTTGGCACAATTAGAAATTACTTTAAAAATAAATCCTAACCCTCAAACAATGAATTAAAAAAAATATATGTACAGTGGGTACGGAAAGTATTCAGACCCCCTTAAATTTTTCACTCTTTGTTATATTGCAGCCATTTGCTAAAATCATTTAAGTTAATTTTTTTTCCTCATTAATGTACACACAGCACCCCATATTGACAGAAAAACACAGAATTGTTGACATTTTTGCAAATTTATTAAAAAAGAAAAACTGAAAAATGCTCAGTATTTAGTAGAAGCACCCTCTTGATCTAATACAGCCATGAGTCTTTTTGATGCAACAAGTTTTTCACACCTGGACTTGGGGATCCTCTGCCATTCCTCCTTGCAGATCCTCTCCAGTTCTGTCAGGTGGGATGGTAAACGTTGGTGGACAGCCATTTTTAGGTCTCTCCAGAGATGCTCAATTGGGTTTAAGTCAGGGCTCTGGCTGGGCCATTCAAGAACAGTCACAGAGTTGTTGTGAAGCCACTCCTTCGTTATTTTAGCTGTGTGCTTAGGGTCATTCTCTTGTTGGAAGGTAAACCTTCGGCCCAGTCCGAGGTCCTGAGCACTCTGGAGAAGGTTTTCGCCCAGGATATCCCTGTACTTGGCCGCATTCATCTTTCCCTCGATTGCAACCAGTCGTCCTGTCCCTGCAGCTGAAAAACACCCCCACAGCATGATGCTGCCACCACCATGCTTCACTGTTGGGACTGTATTGGACAGGTGCCTGGTTTTCTCCACACATACCGCTTAGAATTAAGGCCAAAAAGTTCTATCTTGGTCTCATCAGACCAGAGAATCTTATTTCTCACCATCTCGGAGTCCTTCAGGTGTTTTTTAGCAAACTCCATGCGGGCTTTCATGTGTCTTGAACTGAGGAGAGGCTTCCGTCGGGCCACTCTGCCATAAAGCCCCGACTGGTGGAGGGCTGCAGTGATGGTTGACTTTCTACAACTTTCTCCCATCTCCCGACTGCATCTCTGGAGCTCAGCCACAGTGATCTTTGGGTTCTTCTTTACCTCTCTCACCAAGGCTCTTCTCCCCCGATAGCTCAGTTTGGCCAGACGGCCAGCTCTAGGAAGGGTTCTGGCCGTCCCAAACGTCTTCCATTTAAGGATTATGGAGGCCACCGTGCTCTTAGGAACCTTAAGTGCAGCAGAAAGTTTTTTGTAACCTTGGCCAGATCTGTGCCTTGCCACAATTCTGTCTCTGAGCTCTTCAGGCAGTTCCTTTGACCTCATGATTCTCATTTGCTCTGACATGCACTGTGAGCTGTAAGGTCTTATATAGACAGGTGTGTGGCTTTCCTAATCAAGTCCAATCAGTATAATCAAACACAGCTGGACTCAAATGAAGGTGTAGAACCATCTCAAGGATGATCAGAACAAATGGACAGCACCTGAGTTAAATATATGAGAGTCACAGCAAAGGGTCTGAATACTTAAGACCATGTGATATTTCAGTTTTTCTTTTTTAATAAATCTGCAAAGATGTCAACAATTCTGTGTTTTTCTGTCAATATGGGGTGCTGTGTGTACATTAATGAGGGGAAAAAAATTAACTTAAATGATTTTAGCAAATGGCTGCAATATAACAAAGAGTGAAAAATTTAAGGGGGTCTGAATACTTTCCGTACCCACTGTATATATATATATATAACATTTAATTACTCCAATAATAACAATTTAAAAAAATTCTGTAGCCTACAATTTAATCCTGTCATAACTTCTTGGTGTCTGTTGCTGAGTAACTTAAATGTTAAGGATGGGGGAGACTGCAAAGGGAGAAACTGGCTGACAGGTTTGCTAGGACACGAGTAGGAAGGCAGAAAGGCAGTTTTTGGAGAGTATTAAGACATTAAGGAGAACTGGGGATTTCTCCTTCCGACAGGGTCTTAAAGTGCACGGATAGAGCCGCCTCCTCGGGATTCGGCGGTCGCCTAAAATCTTCTCTCGTCACCACGTAACCCACCATGACCCCAAAGCACACCAGCAACAAGCCTAAAGTGTTCGCCAGGACCCCCTCACCAGTAAACCTGGAGTAAGTTTCCCTAAGAACAAGAAATGTACCATAAAATTGTCATTGTTAGATGAACAGAAAAACACTGTAGTAGCTTGCACATCTTAAATAACACAAGCTTCAGATCCACTTTGACCAAAACACTGTAATTTAATAAAGATTTGCTAGTTATGTCAGTCTGTGGGACATTTTTTTTTTTTCTTTTTCAGATGCGAGAAGACTGTTTATTTATGGATTAATAAAGTTAATAATCATAAGTGCATTACATTAAATCCTTTAAGTATTCATGATTTCTGCAGTAAATGAGCATATAAGGAATATTATCTTGAATTTGTTTGTAAGATTCCCTTTTAGGTGATTAGATAGGTAGATATGTCTGTGTGCAAGGATTGAATTGTGGTTGCTGCTGTAACAATATAATTTCCTGAGAAGGATTAATAAAGTATTTACTACTAATAATAATAAAACACAGCATTTGATGCCAAATGGTGAGATGGTGAAAAGAAGCCAAATATCATTGATATTCATTGAAAGTCTCTTTCCGCTGTGACTCATTCACATGGTGACTCATTCCTTTCCTCTGTTCATAATTTTTACCTCAGCTTAGTGACATCAGTTGTTATTTTTCATATATTTCAGATGCATTCACTGACACTCACATTATACTGAAGAGCAGTTTCTCTGTGATTCCCAGCAGACAGGATCCCACAGACATGGTCAGCAGCAACAGGCCAAAGAAGACGTGCAGCGGGAGATACCAGCTCCTCAACTGAGCAGAGACCCATGGGAAAAGGAAAAATCCCAGTCCCAGTAACCACTGGAGGAAATTAGAGGAGAAGCAGTCACTCCAAAGACCACTTGACGCGATGTATTCTGCTGGCCTCTTCAAAATGTTTTAAGATCAGGTCTTCTCAAATTATGAAAAAAAAAGTATATAAACAAGTAATAATCTATTTTAAAGGAGACATATTATGCCCCTTTTTACAATATGTAATAGAAGTCTCTGGTGTCCCCAGAATGTGTCTGTGAAGTTTCAGCTCAAAATACTCCACAGATCATTTATTATTACATTTTGAAAATGCCTATTTTGAGTGGAAGCAGAAACGCGCTGTTTTTCGGGCCTGTCGTTAGAACTGTAACGTTGTTGCTTGCTAAATCAAAATGGCGGCGCCGTGGGTGTAAACTTACAGATTAAGGGGCGGTAATATTATAATGAGATCCCTTTGCAACGTCACTAGGGGAGCGAAATCTGACGCACTCATTTTTTCAGATGCTTGCAGAAAAAGGCTTACCAAAACAAAGTTAATGGGTTAATCTTTTTCACGTTTCCTTGGTTGGTAGATGCACCGGGCACCTGATTATAGCACTTAAAATCTGGAAAAGTTAGATTTTCATGATATGTCACCTTTAAAAAAAATAAAATAATAATATTTAAAAAAAACTATATATAAAGAAAAAACTTTTTAGTATTTTTTTAAATGATTATAACAATTTTATATTTAAATATAATAAAATATTCCTATTTTTAGCTGTATGTAGAGTATGAAGTGGACTAGCAGGTTTCAAGGCTGGTTTTCCATTGTCAATAAAAACTAATGCAAACACTGATGGCAATGTGCTGATGTTAAAGGCAGAGTAAGCGATTTCTGGTAGCCAATGTTGATATTTGAAATCACATGTTAGCAGTGTAATGGATGTGACCACAAGGGGGTTTGCTAATGCAGAGTTTCCAAACCACATACACTCAGTTGTTCAAATAAGGAAGAAGGAAAATGTTTAATGCTAATGCTGGTCAAAATGAAATGAATGCATATTACCTGTATGAAAAACAGCACAAAAGTGAGCATGCCACACCAGCTGTGCAGAGAATACATATGAGAGATCTTAGCTGACGAATGGAAGTCAAATACGGCAACCAGACCTAAGAAGAGAGAAAGAAAGAGATATTATACAGTATACATAGATATATATTTAAATATATTATTATAATTTAAAATAGCTGTTTTAGATTTTAATATATTTTAAAATGTAATTTATTCCTATGACGGCAAAGCTGAATTTTCAGCATCATTACTCCAGTCTTCAGTGTCACATGATCCTTCAGAAATCATTCTAATATGCTGATTTGCTGCTCAATATACATTTCTTATTATTATCAATGTTGAAAACAGTTGTGTGGCCTAATAGGGTTCTTGAATGAATAGAGTTAAAAAATAGTATTTATTTATTTTACTTAAAAAAAATTTAATCTTGCTGACCCCAAACTGCTGAATGCAGCAAAGTATTGACTGTAAGTATTGGTGTTGACTTCTGAAAATGCAAATCTAGTTATCCTGTGCCTTGTGAACGTGTTTATGTGAGGGAATTTTTAGTTTTCCCCTTATTTAACGGTTCAAATGGCACATTATTAGACATGGGAAATGATTGTGACCGCAGCAGTTGTGAATTACAGCTAAAATCTGTGTCGCTGAACAAATACCCAACAAAACAGTGCAGCCAAACGTAATTTACTGCCGAGCAGTGTTTTTCTTCTAACCTGTTAGCAAACACATGCTGAACTTACCCACAATACTGATGATAAGGGCCATCATATGCAGCAGAGCGTGGAGAATTTTCATTGAACGCTTAGTCTCGTTTCTAAAGACACGATAAACCAGAACAGCTGCGGTAGAGAAAGAACAAGAAAAAAAAAAAAGTCATATTTTCACATGTAAAAAGATTAGCCAATCATGAAAGCATAAGCATTACAAGTATAAAGTAACAGAACACATTTAAAATTCTTAAAGGTACAGGACCAAAAACAGCCTGTGTCAGGTTTGAAATTCTACAGATGCAGTAACCTGACGAACAACAGGCTAAGGGTGTATTACCATGTGTCTTTTTGGCCTTTCTACAAGCAGACTGATTCCCTCTGGGCTGCTTTTACTGGTGCTTTTTGGGACAGCTAAACCTCTAATAGGCCAATGACCTTTCAGGTATAATGTCCAGATTGAATTGCCATGACAAGGGCTTTGAATCAGACGACCACTGCTAAAGATATTAGCTCAATTAGTATCTGTCTCTGTTGAGTGTTTTAAGTGTCCAGATGGAAGAACCATGAATTGACTGTGATTATGCTTGAATAATATCTCTCTTACCATTTTCTTTCCTGAAACCTTAACTATAGCAGTTACTGATTAATAGAGAAAAGCACGCAATACCGACTCTCAGCAGGGCTTGATCTCTGTTTGAAAACCAACCATGAAGTATCCTAGCCAATATTGATTCATTTATACACAAAAATCAGGAAGCAAATCCGATATGAGCTCTAATAGCATTAGCTGGCCCTTTCTGTTCAGTATTGTGTGTGTTTTATTGAAAGCAAAGAGTCACATACACACACCCTAAAGGCTGAGAGATAGAAGACACACAGATGTCTTATTAGACCATTACATTGAGTCTCTATATTCCAGCTATTTTTTTTTTAATGAAACATTACAAGTCACACTTGTTTTTATCTTTAGAATAACCTGGAATGACGAATCATAAACAACAATAATAATATTACAAAATCAAATATAGTATATTTTGATTTCATATTGAATTATTTTTACTTTTACACTATCTAAAATACTATCAACCATATACTGTATACAGTGGGTACGGAAAGTATTCAGACCCCCTTAAATTTTTCACTCTTTGTTATATTGCAGCCATTTGCTAAAATCATTTAAGTTAATTTTTTTTCCTCATTAATGTACACACAGCACCCCATATTGACAGAAAAACACAGAATTGTTGACATTTTTGCAAATTTATTAAAAAAGAAAAACTGAAAAATGCTCAGTATTTAGTAGAAGCACCCATTTGATCTAATACAGCCATGAGTCTTTTTGGGAAAGATGCAACAAGTTATTCACACCTGGATTTGGGGATCCTCCGCCATTCCTCCTTGCAGATCCTCTCCAGTTCTGTCAGGTGGGATGGTAAACGTTGGTGGACAGCCATTTTTAGGTCTCTCCAGAGATGCTCAATTGGGTTTAAGCATATTAAACTGTAAAATGACTGTAAAAAGTATGACTTTCAGGTTTTCACAAAACAAAAAGTTTTATATATATATAAAAAAGTAAATGGACGAGTTGTATCAATTATGATATCAATTTAAACAATTATTATTAATCAATTAGGCCTATTACATTAATTAAATAACAATATAATTATAATTTGTCTTAATTGTTTAGATTTTTATAATGCATTATCTTGTCGATCCAACTGTTCACATTTACAACTCTGCTTGTTTGCAGCAAAACATGAGTTAATTTTCACATTTGGGAAATTTTCCGTCATTGGTCAGCAGGAGGCGCTTTCACTGCAGAAACAAAGAAGTTTCCTCGGTAACGACTGTACACAAAGCAGAAACAGGCAGCGCTCATGTTTATTTAATGTTTGTCTGTGTTTTAGTTGGTTAGGTTTGTATTTCATTATGTTCTGTTTATTGTCATAGATATGTATACATATCTGTTTATTGTGAGATGTAGTAACTATAGTAACCGCGGCGCCCATTGCCGTATGTTGCCAGAAACTACCGTGAAACGCTTAGTATAAACACTTAGGTAAGTTTGACAGTTAAGACGTTTGTTGCAACGCTCCTAAAGAAATCCCTTACCTTTGGGATTTTTTCCCCCTCAGGGATACCCCTAAGTCAAATTACTTAAGAACTTTCATGCAACGGGGCCCAGAGCTGTAACCCTAAAAGCCCAGAAAAAAAAGTAGCCCAAGTAGCCTTGGGTGTCAAAACTAGGGGTCGACCGATGTTTTTCAGGGCCGATATGAGTATTACAGATCAAGTAGACCGATAACCGATATTTTGAACCAATATATATGTCTGGTGTATAAATGATAATTAATGTCAAAATTAAGAATAACAAGGGCTCTGACAAAAACTTTCTTTAAATGCTTTTAAATTATTTTATTGGCAAATTGGTTTTGAAAATGACTTATACCGATAACCATAAAATGCTTAATATCAGCGCCGATAATCGGCCAGGCCTATAATCGGTCGACCCCAAGTCAAAACTATCTATCCCTGACTATTTCCTGAACGGCAATGCTTCTATTATTTTCTCTTTGCAAACTTCAGGTAAATAAGGATAAAAAAAACACATTTTATCTAAAATTTTAATTCTTACCATCACCATAGAGGAAGACCAGGCCGAGGACCATACAGAGAGGGTGGACGTTAAACTCTTGTGCTGAGCCGTCCCAGGCGTAGCCTCCACGGTAATGCCCCATCCACACACCTGTGATCACCACACATGCCACCCCCAGCACCTGAGAGCCTGCCACATACCACGGCAGCGTCCGCAAGCCGCCCATGCTCAACGGCATACCCTCCATTACCTGCGAGACGGGGTGAAGAAAGAAAGAGAAAACTGGAAAACCTTTAAGGGATGTACAAGACTCCACCTCTTATGCAAATTACAGATTTAATGAATTATAAAATAGTGATAGTAGATTTGCTTTTTTCACTTAAAATAGATCATTTTGACACAGATATGTTCTTGATATAGACCATATGTTCAGTGAGACACATAAGTACAAAATAGTTATAAACTAAAAACAGGCAGGTGCGTGAAACTATTTGTTTTATTTAAAAAAATAAAAAGTGGAGATGCTACACAGACATTAAATAATGAACAATACACAATATTTTCATTCTATATTTGCAATATTATTTAACATAGAACGTGATTTTAATATTGGCAGTGAAGAAGCTGCATGAATGTACAATGGGTCAAATTTGCAGTAAGTCTTCACGTTGTGGTTTGAATAGTCACGTGATGCCTTTAGTAAACACATTATGCAGATAAAGACCTTCAGTCTCCTGTGTTTAAGTTTCATGTGGTCTTTGCCAGCCTTAAGAAAGCACAACATCACCCACTGTAAAAACAATCGGTTACATGACTGCATGATGATTATCAAGCTTAAACTCCCTCTTAGCTGGCACAAACACATCATATTTAGAGGTCTAGAGCCACTAACCTCGTGATAATAATAACAAGCTATAAGATGAAAACTTGGATAACAGAGGGAAAACTCCTCTAGACGTCATGCAAAACATAATCAAGAGATGATGCCATTTTAAATTGTATTTGCCACTAAATTATGGTGCAGCAGCATCACGCGCTGTCAATACTATGGAAAAAGTGTCACTCACCTGCGCCACGTCTCCAGACAGCCAGAGAAATGGGCGTGTTTTTATGATTGTGTATTTTGGACAAGAATCACAAGATCCTTATTGCTTGAAGGGGTTTTGTGACCTACTATCAAATTGCATCTGATATTCTCTCTATACAGTTTACGCGAAGCCTCTGTTGATGTAGACGCGCGACTCACGGGCCTGTCTGATATTGTATCGTAGCGCACGGCTGGACGCACTTGGAAGTTGACGGGCAGATTCTGACCACGCCCCCGCGCTGTCACTATTGGCTGCTGCTCGTGAAAGGGGAGGGGTTACTATGCAGAGGATAAGGTCTGAAACGCACTTCGGTTGCCTTGGTAATCACATCTTTGAGCGATTGCTGAAGATTGTATATTGTCTGAAATAAATCATAGGCTACTAGACAGACGTTTTTAGTACTTCCAAAAATTTCTCGAAAGAATGCTGCATAGGATCACATCTAAATATTAGGCTACTAAATATCTGATTAATAATACTTCATTGATTATTCGTTTGGTGATGTCTGTTTGGATTCTTTATGCGTAAGTGTAGCCTACTACTGTTCAAAAGTTTGGGGTCGGTAAGATTTGTAATGTTTTTGAAAGCAGAAAGAAGTTTCTTATGCTCACCAAGGCTGTAATTGTCTGATTAAAAATGCAATAAAAACAATAATATTGTGAACTATTATTATAATTTAAAACAACTGTTTTCTATTTTAATATATTTTCAAGTGTAATTTATTCCTGATGGCAAAAATGAATTTTCAACAGTCATTACTCCAGTCTTCGGTATCCTTGACAAATCATGATGCGGATTTGGTGCTCGAGAAATATTATTATTATATTATATTATCAATGTTGAAAACAGTTGTGCTGCTTAATATTTTTTGGAAACCTTAATGCATCAGGATTCTTTGATGAAGAGAAAGTTCAAAGGAACAGTATTTATTTGAAAAATAAATATTTTGTAACATTATAAATGTCTTTACTGCCACTTTTGGTCCATTTAAATAAAAGTAAGAATTTCTTTAAAAATATGCTAAATAAAAGTAATAATTTCTTTAAAAATGTATGTATTATTGTTACGAATTTAATCCATTTATTTCTATTATTTATGTATTTATTTCAGCCAAAAACTGTGATCCTTCATAGAATAAGCAGTTTGGAATATGGATGGATGGATGGAAGTCAAAAACTTTTAAATAAACGAGTAAATTAAATACATTTTAAATAAATACATTTGTTTATTTACATAGGCTGTTACAACTTAAGCCTTGCTGGGGGGAAATTAATTTAAAAAAAAAAAAACCTTGTCATAAAACTGTTAAAAATATTAAAATGTAAAATATATTTTCTATCATATAATTTTCTACAAAGCTGTCATATGCTATATCTATGCTATATAGATACGCTATATCAATTTGCCTTGTCAGGGCAGAATTATCTAATGAATTGATTTGCATAGCCATCAACATTCTTACCAACTGAGCCTTGAATATCATTCTTTCGATCATGTCGCATATTGACCACAAGAGGGACGCAATGAGCTGTGGATAAAGCTGCAGTATCTCCTGCCGTCTTTGGTCCCAGTATTAGAGCTTATGCTGACATAATGTGCATGCATGTGTCACACTGACTTTATCTCCAGCTCCCCATCAATAACACCATTCTGTCCCTCACTTTCCCTGTTCTTTCATTTCCTGCCTTTCTGCTGGGGGGTGGGAGTGAGTGATGGGAGATGACATTTCGAGTATGACTTCACAAAGCAATGACTCACAATTGATTCACTGTTTTACAAAAATAGAAACTTTCTCTCCCCGCCATTTCTTTCTCGTCCTTTTGGGCTCAAGACCAACTTCCTGTCTGGTGCGGAGAATCCGACTTTAGTTTGAGATCTCACTCTGATGCTTGCACAAGGATGCAGGGATTTCTCACAGACATGCGTCTATATCCCTGTTGAAAAAACCAGCATATGCTGGTTAGGTATGTTTTGAAGCTGGGATGCTGGTTTGAGCTGGTCCTTTGCTGGTTTAAGCTGGTCATGTGCTGGTCTTAAGCTGGTCGGACCAGTTTAGGACCAGCACATGACCAGCTAAGGACCAGCATAAACCAGCAAATGACCAGCTTAAACCAGCAAAGGACCAGCTCAAACCAGCATCCCAGCTTCAAAACATACCTAACCAGCATATGCTGGTTTTTTCAACAGGGATGGATGCCTGTCCTGTTTTGACCTTGTTTGACAGCCCCAGCCATGAATATGTATGGGAATCGCATGGTCCCACTCAGCCCAGCAAAGCCACGCTGGAAGATTTGTGTGTGTTTGAGGGCTAGAGAGTCTGGTTAGTGTTAGGGAGCTTAAAGTGGTCGGTTTGTGGCGATGCAGTGTTTTGATCTGCTTCCAGAGCAAACTTGCTAACTGGTAACCTGCAGTACGGAGACGTGTCGTGTCGCCATGACAACAGCCGGCTCTCTGCACTGCTGCCGCTGCCGCCGCCTGTCGGCCTCCAACAGCAGCCAAGAACACAACAGAGAGAAGGAAGACAGGGAAACGGCTAAAAATAAAATGCAAAAGAGCACATGTGAAAATAGACACAAGTGGAGTCCAAATAATGACTTCCTTATTTTAATTCCTTTTGTAATTTGAATAACATGACATAATATAAGTAGTTCATGATGTTACAATTATATGACTACCTAATTACTTCTTTCTCTGCATGTTTTTGAACCCAAGACCATGCCAACTACATATAGGCTATGTAAACTATGAGTGTATGTGGGGGTGGATGCATGTAAATATTTTTATGTAGGTTATGTAAGTAAAACATAACAAAACATGGGGGGAAAGGAAGTGGCTTTGAAATTTGTTTGTGTGAAATAGTGCAATAACCTCAGCCTGTTTTTATTATAGTGAGAGAGGCTACTAAACAATGGATGACCATAATCTCTGTGAGGAATTACGTCACAGATGGTTCTGGGAGGACTGACCGACCGCGGAGGTTTTCATGCTTTTATTTCATGCACTAATGGTGAGTCATAACTGTTAGGACTGGAGATGGTTCTCCGTGGAGGCATGACGCTGGAGCAGTCTCCTAAAGATTTGGATTGGCCATTTTTAATTTTCAAGCAATTTATAGCTACATTTTATGCTTTAACTCAATATTATTAGTAGAGGTTATGGTTGTCGGTTGGATTGGGGGTTTAGTCATGTTCATTTTGCAAATCAGTTTTTAAAAAAACACTGTAATGACAATTTGTGTCAGTCATCAGTGATCAACTGAGAATCAATATTTAATTAATCCATTAAAAATGTCAGCTATGGATATATAGCCATAAAGCAAAAGGTCAACAAATGAACAATTTGAAATATTCAAAGAATGAAAAAAAAAAAAGATTTTATAATTATTTTTTAAATGATTATATACATAATATAATGAGTGATAGATCATTTTGATGTTTTATATTTACACTTTAAATATTGTGAAATTTTCCCATTGGTAAAATGAAGTTTGTTACATTTCTTTCTTCTGTGGAACATAAAAGAAGATATTTTCAAAAATGTCACAGTGTTTATTTGTCCATACAATGACAGTCAACAGTCACCAAAACTGTTTGGTTACCAGCATTCTTCAAAATATCTTCTTTTGTGTTCCACAGAAGGAAGAAAGTCGCAATTAATAGTTTATTGTTTTATATTCTGTTGCCGAGAAAAAAGAACAGAACTGCAACATGTGAACTCATAATTCAGAGATAAAAAAAAGTCATAATTGTGAGATAGAAACTCGGAATTGTGAGATGTAAATTCTGAATTGTGACTTTTTTCTCAGAATTACAAGTTTATATCTCACAATTTGGAATTTTCTCTGAATTGTGAGATATATTGCAAGAAAAAAGTCTGAATTGTGAGTTTTTTTATTTCATGGCAGAAACGGGCTTCCATATTGAGGGTGAGTAAATGATGATTAAAGTTGAATTTTTGGGTGAACTACACATTTAAGGCTGCATGGTGAAGCCTATTTTTTTCTATCCAGCTCTAATATGACAGTATTGTTATTGTTACCCAATGGACTGCCCATTAATGCCATTACCATGCTCTGGATCAAGAAATCCAATGGGAATTCACTTAAGATTGCATAAGATATGTGGCAAGCTCAAACAACTCTCAGTTTCCCCATTCAACTCCTACATTTTAAGAGCAAATATGCTTTTTAAATGTATGCAATAACCTCATACCTGCGACTTTTAAACATACACATTTACCCTCCTGCAGCATGTTACTGCTAAACAGAAAGGGCTGGTTTTAATGACATTTCCTCAGTCTTTGTTCTACGTTCATCCTCCTCTTATCCTGTTTTCTCTCTGTTGTACCAGGAAGAGAACAAAAATTCATGTGTTTGTCCCTGCGGCTGTGAGGTGGAGGGATTTTGCTGCGGATGGTTTATTTTTAGCTTCTTTTCTTATCTGTCAACATGTGCACATCGATCGCTCCACACCACCTTCACATGAATGAACCTTTGACGTAAAAGAGCAAACTATCTGCCGCTCGCTGGGACGAGAAACACAGAGATCTGTTTCCCGCTTTGCCTGCAATTCCACTCTGCTCTGATGCACTACTTCACTCTCAACCAGTCTGAAGTCTAAGGGCAATCACTGTGTGTGTGTGTGTGTGTGTGTGTGTAAGCGTAGAGTGAATGCATGTGTATGTGGAGATGTGCACAAGCATATGTGTTTATGTTTAAGGCATGGCTCTGTAGTGACCTGTGGACTAGAATGAGGCACGCAAGCCAGATGCATCCATGGCAAACTGGTGAGTGTGCAGAGCAGAGTAAACAACCAATATGGACTGTGTGCATAATAGAGAGAGAAAAAGCGAGAGTGCATTTATGAGACCACCACGATAAGACGTGATCTAAGCGATATGTAGGGTAATTGCGCACTGGAGAACACAACAGCGAACCACTTGAAATGAATTGTTAAGATGAACCGCCCACGAACAAAAAGC